TTTTTTTATTTTTTTTCTTTGGGTTAGATAATGTAGGACAGGCTAGCTTTGTAGTTGACGCCATTTACAGTCTCTAGTTAATGGTTATATTGTTTTATATAGCTGCAGCTTGTTGTGAGTGAACGCAGTTATCCGGCGTTAAGTTGATTAACCCCTTCCTACGTTGGCTTAGCGTTACCTTGGTAGGTTTCTTGATAACCTGCCAACAGCGACGTGAGCATCCTGTTTGTTTTTTTTTTTTTTTTTTTGGAGGGAGTGCCGCATGACTCACATAGCAGGTATGTAGTCTCCTACCAACACGTCGAGCTAACGTTAACAAGCGCGCACCCTGGCTGATTGCCTCCTCCTCCTCCTTCTCCTCCTCCTCTTCCTCCTTCTCCTCCTCCTCCAGGGTTACACGTCTTTCTGGAACGACTGTATTTCTTCCGGTCTCCGCGGATGTATGCTGGTGGAGCTGGCCCTCAGAGGGAGGCTACAGCTGGAGGTGTGCGGCGTGAGGAGGAAAAGCCTGCTCTCTAGAAAGGTGAGACCAGAGTGTGCTGATGTGGTCAGGTGTGCCCTATTTTTTTTTTTTTTTTAATGTAATATAATGTGTCTTACTTGGTACAAAACAAGCTCCCAGGAGGATGCATTTCTCCACAATCAGGTTTATTGCAAAGTAGGTTTTTTTTTAACATGCATTCAAAATAAAAATAAATACATCCAGGAAGAGCTGTGCAGGATATTTGTTTGTTCTTATGTAAGGAGTATTGGGAGTTTTCTAAATACATATTTTGGGGGCTGATGGTGACAAAAAGGGGCAAAAAAAGGGGGGTGACACGCAGCAAACTACCACAGGTTAGAGTCTAACTCATAGCTGCTGAGCCTTGGTAACACGTGGAGGGTGGGACGGCCCCGGGAGTTGTTTCCTGTTCGCCGAGGGTGTGTGTGTCTAAGAGGTAGTTCAAATACGTGTCCCTTTTTGTTTGCCAAGGTGATCTGCAAGTCAGATGCCCCGACGGGGGATGTGCTACTGGATGAGGCGCTGAAGCACATAAAAGAAACCCAACCGCCGGAGACCGTCCAGAGCTGGATAGAGCTGCTCAGCGGTGAGATAAGCCCCGTCAGAGTTTGCTTACCAAACCTTGTGCTAATCTACTCCTTGTTCACCTGTTGGACATCCTGGTGACATATTTTTTTTAATAGCTTGTGCCTCTTTGCTCTTGTGTAATATCTGAGTTGTCAGTATTCTTACAGAGAGCTTACGTGCATCATTTGACACTAATTGGCAAGTAAACCTTCACTGATAATGGGTTTTATAGGTGTTGTCTTTAGAAGCCTTAAAACAAATGTAATAATAAGGTGGAAGCTGTGGTGTTAAAAGCTTAAAAGTGCTTTAAAAATGACTTGGACTGTGCGTTTAATGTCCTAAAATGGATTTTGCGTTGTCCTACAGGAGAGACCTGGAATCCCCTGAAGCTGCACTACCAGCTGAGAAACGTCAGAGAACGTCTGGCAAAAAACCTGGTGGAGAAAGGCGTCCTCACCACGGAGAAACAGAACTTCCTGCTTTTTGACATGACCACACATCCGCTCACCAACAGTACCATCAAACAGGTACGATTCGGGGGATGTTCAGGGACTCTTTGTTGTTTAATTAAGTAGATTTAAGTTTCGCAGGCATAAAAATGGCTCAGATTAGCGCTGTTGGAGACGAGTTAAAGCCCTGTTTTTGCGCTCAATCTTTAAACATAGACGTTCGGTTTTTCCAGTTGTAATTGCACAATAACACCTGCATTGGATCCTGTTAAAAAGACAACTGAATTCATCATCATTTCTGCCCCTAGGGGCCTCTCTTATCATAACAATAGCAAAAGACATAGTTTGATGTCGTTAGTATCTTGGTGATCAGGGGAATCGTTGTCTTCATTGTTCCCTTGCTGATGAAAATCTGTGACATGACTCAGATAGTACTGGCAGATATTCAAAGATAAGTTTCGTTTAGTTGCGTTCACCAACTTCCTTCCTCACTTTCAGACATATCTTATGTGTCTCGTGTTTCCTTGAAGTTAAAGCAACTAGATAAGTAAGAAGTAAGAAACACACCCTTACCTTCAATCAAATTACAGGTTTTTCTGGGTTTTATATTGTTTGAAACATTTGGGATCATTTAAGTACACAACTCTTAACAAATATATAATATAATAGTCCAGCGTTTTTATTCAGAAATTGTACTTATTATACATGTATAGTGCATGTTTTACAACATATATAACAGCTCTGTAAATCCCAACTATGCTCTCTTTTGAGAAAAAATCCATACACAAACGTGAGAAGTTTATGGTGACTAATAGACACCAGCCACACAAACATCAGCCCATATTAGCTTTTTCTGCTCATGTGTTTTTTTTTCTTTTAGGTTTAGGATACAAACACACGTCCTGCAATGAGCCACCAACCAGACAATCACTGGAGAAAAGTGCGCTGCTATCATCAGTTTGCAGGCCAGATAGCTAGCTTTTTAGCTGCAGCATATTAAATAATGTATAAATGTACGTGCAAAGTACCACTTTGGTCTGTTTACAGGCCGGTGTGGTCTTTACACTGTCTGCCCATGGCCTTTAAGCCACAGCACAGGTTTGTTTGCATTGTGTTTCGTTCTGCCAGCTTCTGTCAGTCAAACATAGACACCAACCAAAGGCTCAAATGTCCCTTCAGTCACTGACAGAAAGGAAACATTCGGAAATTTACCAAAATACTTTTTTTAAATTATTTTTTGTTAATAAATTGTTGCCAATTAGAAATGACTGACATTTTTTTACTGCTATACTGGAGGACTAAATGTGATTTCAGTTGGACTTTTAAGTGGTAGTACTCTATACTGAGCAGTTGTCGGGGCTCAGTGGATCCCAAAAGAGACGTTTTTGTTTGACTATAGCTTTGATTTTTACATTTTTTTTAACGTAAGCTGGTTATAAAAAGGCATTCTCGTAGACAGTATTTGAGTATTTGCTTTGTGTTAGGCTCATTGCTCAAATTGAACCTTTCCTGCTTTTGCTCTAGAATTATCACAAGCATAATAATAATGCAAACTAGTAATTACTTATGATTATTAATAGATTTAGTCTTTTTTTAGAAGATAGTGTCCTCATTTTATTATGTATTTATTTACAATCATGTAATTTTATCTTGCTGTGTTTTACAAAAGAAATTCCAGTTTTACCCAAAAATAGTTCAACATTGTGGCAAATACACTTTTGTATTATGTACTGTTAGCATAAAGATGGGTACCATTAATCAATGTTTTATTTCACATTTGTTCTAAAACTGAAATGTAAAAATGAACAGCAGAGCTGCTGGAGATTTTTACCATCTGACATAGTCTTTATGCTATGCTAAGCTAATCATCTGCTGGCTGTAGCATCAAATGTAACAGACAGGTATGAGAAGGTGAATACGTGAATTACTTCTTTTTTTAATGTTGTTTTTAGTCTAATTCTGATGCGTATAATAGCTTTAAAACACATATGTCAATGTTTTTGCCTACAGCGCCTCGTCAAGAAGGTCCAGGAGTCCGTTTTGGAGAAGTGGGTCAACGATCCCCACCGCATGGACAAGCGAGTTCTGGCCCTGATCCTCCTGGCCCACTCATCCGACGTTCTTGAGAATGCCTTCGCCCCACTCCAAGACGACCAGTACGACCTGGGCATGAAAAGAGTCCACACTCTGCTAGAGCTGGAGCCGGAGAAAGAGAGCACAAAGCCCAACGCCAATGAACTCATGTGGGCTGTGGTGGCCGCATTTACTAAATGAAAACATCTGATCAGTTGGACTGGAAGATCTGGCTATGGTCTGCGTTATTTAATTGGTTGAAGGACTTCACTTAATGAGACGGACTTCACTTTAATGAGACAATCTATTTTGGTTGGGGAGCCTGTTTGTACATCTGTTCCGGATGACATTTTGGTGGTAGTCCATATTAACCCAGTGCAATCTGATTGGTGGTGGGCTTCACCAAGTAACATTTGGTGTGTCGGAACGGTCTCTAAAAGAAAAATGACTTTCTTTCACACAGTGAGGTAAATTATCTGCAACTGCTAGGCTGGATATACTTGTAAACATCGACACTACGAACAGATGGGCTTCTGTTAATGTTAGATGACATCAAAGAACAAAGCAGGTGGCAGCAGTAGTCGTGGTGAATATGAAGATTTTGACTGGGGCCAAGTTTCCCTTCTACACTAAGGAAAAAAACATCTCCATTACTACAAGATCTCACCAGAATCATTTCCTGGTCTCGTCTCCATACTCTTCCCCCCCATGCAAGGATAAAGGATAGCAAATCACACTGCTATCTATGCTCTTTGCACTCACACAGGTCTGTGTTGGGAGTACATGCTTAGGGTTACTGTTAGAATAGACTACCTGAATGTTTTGCCTATTCACTCTCTGTATTCGCATTAAATTCTCTCTTCTCCTTTCTTCCTCATTGCATTTTTGAGGAAGAAAGCGAGAACACGAATAAAAACGCTTGGGTTCAGTCGCTGCATCATTAAGAACGAGCAGGGTTAACGTGGCCCGTATAGTCTCTGTCATAAATGAAGAATTAAACCTTGAGTCTAGCAAAACTCTTTATTTTATTAGTTTGCTGTTTTTGCAATGGGTCCATTCTGTGTTTTATAGAATGAGACTAGTCTTCCATTTCTATTTATGTTGCTAATCGATGCTTGAAGTAGCCTGCCATTTATCAAGTATTTTGCACAGTCAATAGCCCTGTAGGTAGGATCGTATTTATAGAGATGTTTCTTAAGTTGAGTAACACACTTGAAGATGAAACTGAAAATTATGAACCTTAGCAACAATGGTTTAAAACGAAAAAAAGATCTCACTTATTTTGTCTACAGTTATTGATCTTTATGAATACTTAAAAAGCATTCCTCTGGACATATAAAAAGAAGCTTCTGCTCATATTTTTAATTGTGAGTTGAGATGTAAAGATGCAGGAAAAGCAAACAAATCCTCTCTGATTTGGATCGCTGTGAACAGCCTACACAAGATTTACAAAGTGGTCATCAGAGCTTGTATGAACGGGTTGGGAAATGTTAGCCAAACGGGCTAGTTTTAGTTCAAAAAGCATTAGAGGGTCGATTTGCCCAAAATAAATTTGTCACATAACACTAGTGGTATCCAGCCATGCAGGTAGTTTTGGTTTTATTTAACTTTATGAAATATGTCTCTGAGATATCTGCCTCTATCCTCAAACAGTGGGGGTAAATTGAGTTTCCCAAGAGGATGCTTGTCAGCGGTAAAACAAAACTCAAAATAAACATGTCTTTGTGGAGTTTCCAGTGACAAACCCAGAAACCTAGCTGTAAACTTTTTCCTTTGCAAATACTTTGCACAGAAAAGATTACATTTGAAAACTATTAGCTAGTTTCACCGTAAACCAACAGAGGTAACTTAGTATTTTGTCATTTGGGTGAACCGACCCTTTAAGTTTCCCTATTGCAATATGATGTATCTTTCAGTTTATATGTCATGTCATAATTAGATGTTATTTCTATATGATAGGCCCATAATGTGGGCACGTATTGTTTCATACACACAGATGATGGGAGGGTTACTTGGGCCACACATGAATCAGTGTTCAACAACATGCAGTCCATTGGAACAAAAACATCTGCAAACATGCTTTACTGCAGGTCTGGGAAAACTTCTGTTTCAGTATAAAACCATGTTTCTGGTCTGATGAGTGTGATCTGTGTATGACTTTACATCCCTTATTGTTTCATGACATACTTTCATTTCTGTCTTTTTTTTTTCTCCTACCTACAAAATACAAATAGGTATGAAGAAGAGTTGAGATCCGTTTACAGCAAAGAGACCATGCATGCTATTGGTGGAGGGCCGGGGTACTTGTTGATGTAGCTACAGAGAAAAGGCTTGTATGTAATTATTAGTCATTTTATGTGTACGATCTAATGGAATTCAATGAAAGGGATCTTCTCTGCTATCCTGTATAATTCTGTATGCTTTTGTATTACCACACAAAATAAAGTAAGGATCCTTTAAGTGCCTGAATTTAGCACTGTTTTGCTGTTGTCAGTTTTTTTTTTTTTTTTTTCATTTACAGTTTTGGGTTTATTTCATCTGTTTGATTTTGTTTTCTCCTATTCAACTTGTAGTCCCACCAATCATGCAATTAAGAGGTGCTTCATCTGATGTAGTTTTTTGTGTGTGTAATTTATCGAGAAAATAAGCCAAATTTTCTGTTTTTTTTTCTTGGACATTGCTTTGGGCTCTGTGAAATTGGGATGGCTGTTTGTCATTTTATAATAATTGATTGGATAAATAACAACAGATTAAAGAAACAGTTTGATATTTTGGGAAATACCTTTGTTTTCTTTCTTGCTGAGAGTCAGAGGAGAAGATTGATACCACACTTGTCTGTATGCTATATATGAAGCTACATCCAGAAGCTGGTTAGCTTAGCTTCACACAAAAACTGGAAATAGGGAGACAGCTAACCTGTTTCTGTCCAAAAGAAAAGAAAAGCTGCCTACCAGCCCCTCCAAAGCTCACTAATGGACATGTTATAACATGTGTTAAGTGGAAAATCCACTAGCTGTTTCCCACTCTTTCCTTATGCTAAGGTAAGCTTATCAGCTACTGGCTCCAGGTATATTTAATGTACCGCCAAAAGAGTGGTATCAATATTCTCGTTTAACTCTCAGCAAGAAAATTAATAAGTATATCTGAAAATGTCAAACTTACTTTAACTGACATGAAACACATTGTGAGTTGAAGCTTTACATTCATTCAACTGTTTACTTTCACAACCGCTATAGTACAAATGACCACATACTAGACTTATTAAATATATATATATCTTTAATTAGCAATTCATTAAGTACTTCCCCGTAGAAAGACATTTTTGAAAAGTTAATACACTTAATCACAATTCTCCCAAGTCTACAAATCTCCATTGATGTAAATGTGACAGGTTTATAGAGCAAAATATGCATAAATGCCCACATATACAGTAGTATATACAGAATACATGTGACAATCAGCATCTTTCAGCAGATAACTTCCATTCAGATGTCCCCCTTTGGTTCCAGTCATCCATGGGTCTGAATCGGTGGATCAATGGCATCCCACTCATTGGCTTTCTCTGCAGAGCTCCAGTCTTGAATATGGCATCGGTCCACTGACAGTTCACATCCAATATCTCCATCAGGGCGTTTCCATAAGATTATATCTCACTTTAGAGCCACCATTTTGCCACAAGTGACGAGTCTGTGTCAGGACTCTTCTGCTTTGGCTTTGAATGCTGTCCAGTTTAGCAAAAATCCAATTCCTCTTTTTGTGCTTTGACATCATGTCTCACTTGATTTTAGTGACAGTCTTGTAGTTCTTGATCAGTATTTCCAGCAGTTTGTATTTCCAGTAGAGTCCATCACCAAGTTGACGCAACTCATATGCGCAGTGATCAATAGGAAGATCTGAGGGAAAAAGGACACAGTTCAGAGGAGTCAGGCTGATACCCACTATCTAATACACCTTTAAACTGATAAAGCTTAACAAAAAACAAGTTAAATCAAATCTTTTTAGATACTCACCATGGCTAACCATTTTCATAGTGGTAGGTAATGCTCCGTAAAAAGAGAAGAGAGTTTTAAAGTTTCAGTTTTGCTTCTTCCTCTGTGCTTATAAAGCTCTGTAGTTGTCGCTTGACAAGAAAGAACAGGTTTGAACTATTGATAGCAGTGTGAGTTTAAGTACTGCAGCCTGACGTAACTTTATGGCAGAGGAATCCCCTTCTGCCGAAGCCAAGTTCCTCCCACGTGACGTTGACCTTACTGTTCACAATATTGTTGTGGACTCCTTAATCAGTAATATTACATAAAACGTACCTACTTTATAGTTTGTAGAATATCACAACACATGTCTGTATTGTTTGTGCCAGATTGTTGGTGTAATTTTACACCAGTAAAATTGAGTGATCATAAAGGAACTTCTTTCACATATAAAGATATTTGTAATAATAATTCATGATTTGACCATATTTGAAGATTAATTAAATTAATAAATATATTTAAAAAGAAACTAATGTGGTATTGAAAGACGTCACAAGTAGCTTTGTACAGGAAGTAAAAACATGAAGCAAGATTTCGCCATGGCGGACCACAATGTTCAATAGATAGAGGCAGAATTTTAAGAACTTACACTTATATAATCCCACCATAAAGATTTATTGCTTTTTTCAGTGTAAGGTTTGAATGCACAACAGTTCATGGGAGCACCGGTGGATGATTTTGTGCCCTGATGGGCTGATAGGGATAAGATATATAGACACAGTGTTTTTCAGAATGTAGAGCAAAGTCATAACACTTATGTCATTATATAAATAGAAACACTGAATATTCAAAATGTCATGTGATCAATATAAGTGTTTACTGACAGTTAAAGAACAGAGTGTTTCGTTCAACCAACGCCACCTGTAATTAAATTACACACAGCAGCGTACACCACACACATACACACCACAAACTGACTGAAAGGTTTATAATGCAGAACTCAAAAATATATTCTGTGTATTTCATTCAAAGATCTCACTGCTCCACTTAGCACATATGTCATGGACATGTTGAGGCTTGCCTGTACCTTTCTTCCTTTTTGCAGGAACGGGGAAGTACCTGGGAAACTACAGCCAGCCACAGTCAGGCGGTCTGAGCAGAGCAGTGCACTACGACAATAATTTATGTTTATTCTATATAAGGTATGATGATTTGTTGTGTGGCGGAATTACAGAAAGACCTGGAGGATTACATAAAGTTTTGACGTGAACCTTGTGATGTACAAACAAGTACTTACGCAGTATAGAATAATTAAAACTTGGTGGAAATATGAAACAATTCAGATTCTTTACTGTAAGTAAAAGTAGCAATTAATTAATTTAAAAATGCTCATTTACGAATGAAAGTACAAAAATATAATTAGCAAAATCTATTTAGAGTATCAAAAGTTCTTATCAAAGTACTTGCAGGAACTCTTCTACTGTACTATGTATTACAATATGATATGCTTAAGCACCATTTTACCTGTGAACTGCTTTTAGCTACTTAGGTGTTTTAGTCCAGTGGTTCCCAACCTATAGGGTCCAGACCCCACCTGAGGGTCCCAATATAAGTCTGAAGAGCTTTGTTGGGATTAATGAGGCAGGAAAGCTCTGCTACACATATTTGTGGAGTTTAGAACAGAAATGTCTCTTTGTTGGAACTGTTAACACCTCACAGACATCTGAAACAAGACAATGTGGGAACCACTGGTTTAATCTTTAGCAATGCATGTGCAGCATGCTGTCAGATAAATGTAGTGGAGTAGAAGTATAAAGTAGCATTAAATGGACTTAATACTCAAGTCAAAGTTAAAGTTAAGTAACACAGACTTGTAATTCAACACAGCACTTGCTGACTTTCCACCTCTGCTCATTTCAAGCAGAATCTAGTTCATCAGCGCAGAATGGTCATATGATCTCTGCTGATAACAGTGTTGTTAAACTCCTGCTTTAACTTTTATTGCCACATCTTAACAGTAGTACGAAGAGAGAGAGAGAGCTGTGTAATGTACATGTACTATGAACATGCTTATCAGTTACTGTACCTACACAATGTTCATCTGATGTGTGTCAACAAACCTGTTGGTTTTGTGAAAATATTTTGCACAAGATGTCTCTGGAAATTAATGACCTTGTGTCTGGAAGTGACGAAGGCAACAGAAAGGTGTTTGTGTGTGTGTGTGTGTGTGTGTGTGTGTGTGTGTGCCTTTGGAATAATAGATCAACAAATTATAGAACAACAAATCAGGTTTGGCAGGTTTGGTTGAACTGTTTGTCTCACACTGCCACACTCCTGATGTGAGCAGGTATCATTTATAGAAAAACCTGTCAGGCACGAGGCTTCTTACTATGTGTAAACATATTTATGGGCCAGTACTGAGAAAAAGGGTGTGTACAACTAGTTTTCAATGAAGCTGTGGACTGAAAGATCAGAAGCATATATGAGCCACTACTGACAGTATATGTTATACCAAGAATTACATCTTTAAAGCGGTCTGTGTTGAAACATAATATACTGGTGCTATAAACCATGTAAAGTGCTACTTATCTCTGGGGAGGAATGGGAAAATAATCCATTAAAGTATTCTTTTTACATTTACACATTCATAAATAACAGTATGGTTTCATTCATAAAGTTCAACAAAGTATGTTTGCGTTTGTTTTTAGTGTTCAATTTGTATTGTAATATTGTAACGTAGTTCTGGTACACTAAACTGAGAAGATAAATAAAGCCACACTCAAGTTTATACTTTCAGGATCAGATTAAAAAACATATACATAATATATATTCATCAGTACGGTAAGTATTAACTGAAGTACTGTACGTTTTTGAGTATGTAGGCCTACAATGTTAAGATACTTGTACTTTACTTACTCGAGATGTACTTCTACTATTAAACTTCTAACCCCACTTCATTTATTGTACAGTTATAATAGCTTGTTACCTTTTAGATTAAGATTTCACAAATCAGATTATAGCTACACTATGAGGCATTGTTATAGATCAAACTACCAGACAGTATATATAAGTACTTCTTACACATTAATGCATCAGCAATAATATTCCAACAACACTGACTGAAGGGTAACTCTGCATAAGGAGTACTTTTGCTTTTGTTTCTCTATTTTATATTTATTTTATCTGTTCCTCATTTTTGTTTGCTTTGTTCTGTTAGGGTGTCTGTCAATTTTATATTGACTGGTGTTGTATTGGGGAGGATTTTATGAGCCCTGTGGCTTCCTTCCTCCTCTTCATGTATCCACTAGTATTTGTATAGTGTGATATTGCTACTTTTATTTCAGCGAATGATCTTATTATTCTAATTCTATTATTATATTTAACTTATCACTTATCTCTGACGGGCGACCTGTAAACCCTGTATGTACCTCCATCAATCACTAGATGGCAGCACATCCAAACTCAATTTGAGAACTACATCTCTCTATCTATTGGTAAAAAGGATAATGCAAGAAGCTTTACATTACACAAATAAAATAAATTAGTATATAGGAGGAAAAAAAATAAATTCATAAAATGGAGATGCTGAAAACACTTAATTCTGTTTTTATTATTTGTTTGGTCTGTTTAAGTAAAGAATATAGCTGATTATCAGAAAAGAGAGTAAAGATAGCTTTTCTATTAATCCATTTTATTTTATATAAATGGAATTTGCTGAAAATTACAAATGGTTGAATTAAAAATACATTCTTCAGTCAATGAAATTGTTTCCAAACTAAATTCAAATATCACTTCCATACAGCTTGACCACCCATGTCTTTCTAGATAAAATATAAAATAATGCAACAACCAAATATGCATCACTAATCTAATATTGTAAAACACATGAATATATCAGGGGCCATTTTTCTACTACTACTACTACAACTACTTTTACTTTTCATATTTTAACTTTTGCCTTGTAACTGTGTTTTTAACTGCTCTTGTATAGTGTGTATAAAATTTTACATTTTACTTCTATTCTCATTTAGGTTTTATATACCTCTTGTGATTTATTTTAAATTTTTTTACTTTGCCTACTTATGTCTGTCCTTGTGCATGTGCAACCACCGAATTGCCTCTCTGAGGATCAATAAAGGCGTATCTAAGTACATAAGATAATAATAACAATAATAATAATAATAATAATAATAATAATAATGTCCCGTATCTTTTTGTCATTTTTAAATAAAACCTCTTTCAAGGAATTTTTTTAATTACATCTTTTCAATTAAATTCGGATTCAATTATTGTTTATTATTATTATTAATTAATGATTACTGATAAGATATACTGTCAATGGATTCAGGTCACCAGAACAGGAAGAGCGCACGTGGAGACAATACTTGACGTCAGGAGTGACAGGACGTTGTTTTTGTTTATCATCACTGCGCATGCGTCGATGTGACCGGCGGCCAGTATCTCCCTGCCCCCTGCCTGCGGGACTCTAACCATCAGACGGAGAGAGCGACTCTCAGTCCGCTGACTGTCACTGCTGCTGGAGGCGCTGCTCTCCTGTCCAGCTCACAGTTATGAAGAACCTGCATTTCAAGGATTTCTTCTGGGTGAGTTTCTAAGTGCTTTAGGCTATTTTATTCATAATTATTTTGAATATATCATTTTTGAAGAAGAAAGGAAGAAAGAAAAAAAGTAAGGCTCTGTCGTAAATCTTTCAGAGGGTGTGTTTTGCTAAGTAAGCTGTTTTCTTTGCGCTTCACTTTAGCTTCTCTTTCTATTCAAGTCAAGCTGTGATGGGAATTAGAAACAATTTTATTTTTGGCCTTATAAAGTAGGTTCCACTTTCCAGCTCTGGGTATGTGGTTTATGCAGTTGTGGAGGAAGTATTCAGATCATTAACTGAAAGTACTAATGCAACAATGTACATAGAGTACATGAGTAACTTAAAAACATATAAAGACTTAATGCCCCCCTATTGTTATACTGTCTAACTGCATTACTGTGCACTTTTAATCTACTTTTGGGTGGTTTAATCTATGCATCATGCGTTGTAAGATGATCATACATCTTGGGTGTAAAATCTTCATCTGCAATGTAAACTAAAGCTGTCAGATAAATGTAGAGTGAAAACTACAATATCCCCCCCATGAAATGCAGTTGAATAATACCAAAAAAAGGAAGTACTCGAGTAAAGTACAAGTACCTCAATCATGTACTTAAGTGAAAGTAGTGAGCTACAGTCCACTACTGGATTTATAAAACAGTACATTTGTACTATAGAGTACTATAGACTCTTGTATAATCTGTTTAGCTAGAAAAAGAAAGGCCAATGACTGACTGATTTTGACATCTACATGTTTAGGCTGATTGTAGGCTGTTACCCTCAGCTCACCTTAATGATGGAGAAGTACAGTTCAAAACATCAATTTACACACTGTGTCAAAGATCTTCATGTTAAAGTGTGTATTTACGTCTGTGTGCCGCGTTGTCTTGGGTACTTCATTGTGTGAATTCAGAGTGAAACAAGTTTAGACAGAGTGTGTTTCTCTTGCCGTAAAGGAATGGGTGTTGGTCTGAGGAGTGGTAGTAGAGGTAGTGGTATGATAGCAGCTAAATCCCTAATGTCTGTCTGTCTGCTTGCTATTTGTTTTGAATTTATAATAATTGTATAATATATCTATTTATCTATGTGCATGTAATCTAAACAAATAACCTCAACTGTACTGTACAATTTCTAAAATCCAAAAGGATGAACAGAATTAAATATTTTCCATCTCATTAACAGAACTCTGACCTGACCTGCACGGGAGGCTACGATGCCATCATCCAATATCTCAATGAGGGCAAGAGGACATGCAAAGAGGTGGAGGAGTTCATGAAAGCCAGGTAACGCCATGATCTATATGTTACTTCTGCTCTAGCAAAGGTGAGCAAGACTTACTAAGCAAGAAATGACTGGCCGGCTGTGCTAGTTGGGGTTCTATACGTACTAGTTGTTATCATGCAGTTAATTAGCAGCAAAATGATTGAACACAAGTGGCCAACAGATAAAAGAGGAGATTGAGAAATGGAGGTGAAAATGAAAGCTGAACTTCGCAGTGTCACAACTGTGGGAAGTTGCAAGGTTCATTTATGATAAAAGTTATAGAGTCTAAGTCATAGGACATGTTGAGTGTAGGTGGACATAAAGCCATTAAAGACAGCAGTGAAATAGGATTAAACATCTCTCTCTTGCTTAGGAGTGCACAAGAAATCATAATTAAGACTTTACTGACAATAAGGTGAAACATTAGATCTTCTCATTACGAAACATTTATGGAAATGTATGAAAAGAATGTTATAGTGTGTATTTGGTAATATTACGTTTAAGGACCAGTTTGTAGAAACATGGCGACCTCTATAGAGGAGGACATGCTCCCTCTGTAGAGCTAATTCTAAGGTAACAAAAACAATTCATATTTTTAGGTGATATACACTAATTAAATCATAACTATGATTATTAGATTCAGTTTCTATATAGATAATAATAATATAATATAATATATATAATATAATTTAATAGATCCTCCTTAATGTTACACACTGGACACTCATTGACAAATCATTTACCAGCAACACAGCGCAATCAGTAAATGTTGTTGCATAAAAAGCTACTATATCTGAACCTGTGATGACTTCTAATCATGTATGAAATGCCAGAAAGATATTCACCAAAGCTTCATATGCAATTTTACAGAAAGAATTACCGTGTACAAACTGTACATCTTTGAATTTGAATGATATAGTAATATAGTGATCTGTAAGACTTTTTCCTATTAATAAATTCAATCTGCAGCTAAACCAGCACTCATTCCTCCACTCTACTGTGTTGTGGTAGACCAGTGGAAAAGAATTCTTTATCAGAGGAGGAACAGAAATACAGTTCGAACCTACAGTACTGTAGCTCCAAGCCTGTCCTAACAAACATTGTATTGTGAAGTATCATCTAGATTTTTTAGAGTCATACAGAGTTCTACATTTGAATTTTGACTTCCTCCTTCCTCATGTGATAAGTAATCCGCTCCTTAACACACAAACACACACACACACACACACAAATACCCAGCTCCAGTTGGCAGCCAGTGATGTAAATTTTATCCGCTTGTATTGATGCAGTACAAGTATTCAAAAATAATGCAGTTTAACATTAACAGAGGAATTGTGACAGCATAATATAGCACACAGCTGTGGTTACAGCAAAAGAGGATATTACAAAATAATGTAACTAATTCTCATGTAAGAATGAAAAGAAAAGCATAAAACAATAGGATGCAAGAGTTCCCACAATACTGCAGTCACTCTTACTAAAAAGGTTTAAAGTTTGGACACATGCTAGAAATATTATGTGGAAGTAAGAAAACTAAATCAACTGAGGTATATGTTTAAATTAAAGAGTATGACAATATAAATCAAACAGATGAGAATTTAGAGAATGTATAGTGTACATTAAATGGACAATGTGCATCCCATTAACTTTAACAGAAGGCCAAACAGAAAATATTAAATACATTTACCAAGTGTGGAGCTTTGGATACGCTATATGTGTGCTGTTATGTGATTTATTCCTATCACAATAAATATATATTTATTCATTGCTGGGGTTTTTGGTCATTTTTGCAGACATTTATTGCATATGTGCAGTTTGCACATAAAGCCCTTGTTGTGTATTCAGTAAATTGCACCTTATCAGTTAAGATTACACTGTATAATGGCACTGTGGAATTCCTGAATATGCAAAGTCAATGATAAGAAATTCATGTCATAATAACTAAACATATTCTCTGCAGTTGTTTCCTGGTTCCAGTCATTTTTTTCCTCCACACATATATAAATGCTTTTGATTTTAAGCATTCATATTGACATTTATCAGGCAGTAAGGTTATTTTCACTGTGAGTCAGTCAGTCCCCATTCTGCAAGGTCTGTCTGGGGAACACTTTACTTTATTATAACACACTATAATGCAGTTGTATGCAGGGATATTTTAACTGTTAATCAATTTTGCCTGTGAGTACATATTTAATATTTCCCACTGATAATGAATTATATCACATAACGTAATTTATGTCCCAATATACTTTTTTACCAAATGATGTAGCCCTAACTAACAGTTTGACGTCCGTTTTTAAAAGATCGTGTTTGTACGTTCTTTGTACGTTTGTTTGCATGCTGGACTCCCCTTTTTTCTGGTTGTTTCTTCCAGAGCATCAATTGAAGAGAAGTACGCCAAAGATCTCCTTGGTTTGTCCAAGAAGGTGTGTGGACACAATGAGATGAAGTAAGCAACCTGAGTGTTGAGATGCTGTTATTATGTGTTTGACCGGATCTATTTACAGAGTATGTGCAGAAGTTTATGTGAAGTGCCTATTAGACTGGATTCAAGAGCAATGCAGAAAGAAAGTCAAAGTAAAGTTAGAGTCTGATTACCAAATGTGGGGTATTTTTATTATGTTTTTTGTGATGGTTAAAAAAGGGAATTGAGGATTACATTTTTTTGCAGTTTGCAGTAATAATGTCATTTTAGTCAGTCAATTTCTATGCACCAGTGTTGACATGTTGTTTCTGTATCAGCAAGTTTAGTTCCCGTTCTGTCGGAGGTCACACAGTCAGTGCGACTTTGTTTCTGCTGTTTCTGATTGTTAAGGTGGGAAGGAGAAGAAAGACTATTGGGGGAGGGTGAGACGGGAAACATTAATTACTTAATGAAGTCAAAGTGGTTTATTAATTTCTGTTAAAGGTGCCCTGTGGAGTTTTTTGTAAACAAACAAGCGTTTACATGCAAAGTCTTAAAAGTCATGGAATTTAGTTTCCTTGCTAAATAAAGCTTTCGATGGTATTAAAAAGTCTTAAATTCAATTAACAATTAACTTGCCTGCTATAGGCAGCAGAGGTACTTCTAAAATGTTTCTGTATGCGATTACAGGCTGTATGAATTAAAGAAGTATAAACTAAAGGTGAGGCTGATAACAAACCATATAACTTACTGAAGCCAGTCAGGGGAAGAGCGAAAACATCTTTTACACTGAGAAAAGTGTCCGGTGCCGTTCTTTAATCTGCTTTTAATATGGAAATACTCTCCAGTTCTGATATAACTGATGTTAGCAGCACTTATGCTAACCTGTCATTGTTTTTTGAGCTAACAGTCACTTCTCATCTTATATATACTGTCCATGCTTCTCACACACGCGTCCTGGAAAACCTGGAAATTTAGAGACTACTTTTCCAGTCATGGAAACACCTGGAAATTCATTAAAATTACCAAATATCCTGGAAATAATCTTTGTTGTCCTTGAAATTGTTTATTGGCCTGTGCTGTGGCCTGATGTTGTAGCTGTTAGTAGTTTCCTCATAGGACGCTGATTGGTCCGGTACCACTGTTGCTAGACACAAAGCTTGAACCCCGGCAATATCGATTCTCACGTGATTTTGTGATCTTGCGAGTCCAGCTGCCTCGCAAAGTTAGGTGTCAGTTAGCAGCATCAGACCATCCATGGTTATATGCTAGCAGTCTTCTTCACTGCCTTTGTTGGCGCATAGCTTACCACATAACCACCGGCAAGTGTCAGTTGTTAAACTGACAGCAGGATGTGACTAACACCTTCCATGGCCATGTGGCTATCCACAGGGACCCACTTAGAAGAACGTTGCTCCACAGTGCCACAAGTGGTCAAACACTCCACAGGGTTAGCTTTAATTCCCCCTCTAAGTGTTGAGTAGCGGATTTTAAAGGGTCTACAGTGTGGACTCATTTGATGCAGATGTGTGAAATCCCTCTAATCATATTTTCTTTTGCTTTTTAAGCACATTAAAAAAATCCCTGGACATATTCAAATTACGTAAGTAATTAAGTAATTAAGTGCTTCCCTTTTTTGAGTCTTAATAATTCTGCCATTTAGCCGACCTTGTTTACTGTTTGTCTTAGTTTATGTTTCCTGTGTAGCTCAGAATGTAAACCATGTTTTTACCCTTGCAGAGACAGAACATGTGAGTCTATCACACTTACAGCTGGCGCAGAGCATGAGGGAGGAGGCCAAGAAACTGGAGGAATTCAGAGAAAAACAAAAAGAAATGAGGAAAAAGGTTGGCTTTTTTATTAGCAATGTGATACACGGAGGTGACTGTGGCAACACACATAAAGTTGGTAACTGGATATGACCCTGTCATTTCAGATGGAACAACAGATGGATGCTCTCCACAAACAGAAGTCTTCACAGTTCAAGAAGACAATGGATGTAAGTAAAAATGAAAATGCAACTGAAGTTCAGAGTTCATGATCATAGGTTTCAAATAAATAACTGTACAAGGGCACTTTGAGATTTTCCCTTAAGAACTTATTGGTTTCATTTCCTTGTAAAGTGTTATTGATGAACTGAGGATGATGAGTTGAGGAGGCTGAGGAAAACAGCTGCTCTCTAGTCTGGTGGTATGGCAGCAGATACTTCTGTATCGCTCGCCAGGTGGCAGCTGGGCAAACAGGCTGTGGCTGGGGTGGGTGTTGTCTTAGTAACCTTTGGGCTCTGCGCAGGCACCTCACCTCACCAATATCACTGATGGTATCAATGACCTTCTGGACTGTTTTAATCACCTGTCTTTGAGTCCTCCTGTCCTGGACCATCACAGTTCACATGTGACAAGCAGTTTGTAAATGCAGGTTCAATAGTTGATGTAACAACATCTAAATATGTTTGTAATGCAAATTGAAAATACTTTTAAAGACATACACCAATCAGCCATAACATGATTATAATGTTATGTAGCCAAATACGCAACAAACTGCAAACGGGCCAGCCTTCGCTCCCCACATGCATCAGTGAGCATTGGTCGCTAGTTTTAAAGAGCAATAGAACTCATCACTCACTAAGTCATGCACACATTTATAGGGATGGCCCCATTTTTGCTCCGGTCCAGTCAACAAAGCGACTCTCAATTTGTGAGTCACGTCAAAGGGGTTTCAGGTGGGTTGTGAAAACAGTGAAAATGTTTATCCGGTCTCTGTTCTTCCTCTTTGGTGAGAGGAACTTGTGTTGAACAGTTTGGGAAGTGAACCACAAGGCATCATTTAATGTCGTGTAAAATCTTTGCAAAAGAAGAAGTTCTTCTCATACACTGTCCAAAAGAAAAGAAAAATGTGTCTGTGGCAACAGCGCCAGTAGACGGAAGCAGCCCAGAGGTAGACAAAACATACTTAGTCCAGTTCTGTTATTGCTGCAACTTACTTATTTAACATTTTGCCTTTTACAACAATTTATTAAAAAGCGCTCATGCTGACTGCATTGCTGTCCCCAGACAAAGAAGACATACGAGCAGAAGTGCCGAGATAAAGAAGAAGCCGATCAGAATGTAAACCGAAACACCAACACCAGCAACACCAAGCACATAGAGAAGGTACAGTGAAAAAAAAGTGAAGCTTTTCTCTGGTGGAAGTTTAATGTGTCATGACAAAGACAAAGAGACAAAGACATATAAACATATTGAAACTGTACAGTCTTTTGTAAATCTGAAAACATGATCAGTTCTATTAGTTAATCAACAACCATTTTGATATTGAATTTGAGTCAGTTATAAAGTGAACATGTCAAATATTTACTGGTTACATCTACTGTTTTCTGACATTTTTAAAGATTAAATAATCTAAATATTAATCAACAATGATACAAGTTTTTTGTTGCACTCAAAGGAACAGAGCAGCATTTTTTTCTAGAGTGCCTTGGTAGCTGAATGGTTATATTGCCTGCTGCATGGCCCCTGAGACTTCGCTGGTTCGATTCCAGCTGGCACCTTTGTTGGATGTCATGCGCCTCTCTCTCTTGTCTGCCTCTGCTGTCTAAAAAAGGCAAAAAAGCTTTTTTTCCCACAACTAAGTATAGTGGGTAGGAGAAGGACCTTTCAGGAGGCCAAATAGACACTAGTGCGGATTAACCTTTTGATGCTGTTCCCTAATGTGAAATGTATTAATACTAAAAAAACAGACTCAGTGATTTTCACCTGATTGGAGGAAGTGTGTGCTCTGATGAGTCCTATCTTAGGTTTGACATTGATGCAGATAAAGCTACTGTTAAAACACTGGTGTTTGAATAATAAAATGTACCATTTTTATCTGTGTGACTTCCTTCTTCCTTCCTGTGTGTATCAGTTCAGTGTGTGAGAGGCACGGATGTTCATATGACTTTATGAGCAGTAACTTTGTAAACTGTTGGAGACTTAGTACTCATGTGTTCTTCATCCATCGTCTTTCAGCTCTACACAAAAGCACAGCAAGCAAAACAGAATGCAGAAGAAGCAGGTACGTTATCTTTATTACATCCTGTGTTGGGTACATATTGAGCTAGATCTGCACTATGCAGCCCTATTTTATCCAAGCAGGTTTATATTTTGGCTCTCACTCAGACACACACTTTCATGGTTCTCAGAGGATGAATCCTAATGACTTTTCACTCATTTATCCACAGAAATATCTCACCATTTACCAGACGTAATGTCACCAAATTCTGTACAGACATTCATGATTCCCAAAGGATAAATCCTACCAAGCTTGTGTATCCCCTTGCTTTTTCTATAGCGCCACCATGAGGACATTTTTGTTTTTTACTGAAATATCTCAACAGCTATTAAATGGATTTCCATGAAATTTGGTTCAGATATCCATGATGCCCAGAGGATGAATCCTAATGACTTTAAGGACGCTATGACTCTTCTACCAGCGTCACCAATAGGTTCGCACCACTGTGCCGAAAAAAACAGCCTTTCAGAGCCGCGAGCCACGAGTATGACTGTAGTCTTGTTAGGAAATCGATATAAGTGATGTGTGAGGAACTCTTGCATTCTTACACACCAACCAGACTGACACCATTATACACCATGAGAGACAGCGTGCTTGGGTATTTATACTATATTTATACTGTTGTGTTTGATTGGCAGACAGGTTATATCATCAGAATGTGACCACATTGGGAAAGCTTAGAGATGAATGGCTGAAGGAACATATCAGGGCCTGTGAGGTGAGACTTTGAAATACTCCAGAGATCTGAATTTAACACGCATTGTGTAAATGAGCTAAATGTTAATGTTAAGTTCTTCTTTGCAGATGTTTGAAAAACAGGCAATGGAGCGCATTAACTTTCTGAGAAACACAGTCTGGACTCACCTCAACCAGCTATCCCAGCAGTGTGTGACCAGTGATGAGGTAAGTCACAGTAACTTTAAAGCTGCTATAATCAATATTTTTGTATTAACAATGGATCAAATTACTATGCATAATGTGAAAATCTTATGACAAACCCCAAGAGAATTAACACAAGACTCAACTATATGGAGCCTTTTAGCATCTTTTAGCTCATTGTTTTGCTATTATAGCCTGTAACTTCACTGTTTTGGTTCATTCTCACCTCACAGCAGGCTGTTTTCAGTGAAAAACCCAAACCCACTAAAAGATAACTGTCTAACACGAAACGACAGATATAGTTAGTAGTATTTAACAGATAAAGAACCAGATACTCACCTCAGTAGTTGGTGAAGAACAAAAACAGCCTTAAAATGAAAGTAAATGTTGAGTTACATTCATTAGGTGGACACAAACATGACTTAAAGGTATCAAGCAAATGTATTTGTCATTATACAACACAAGGGGATTCCCATTTCGTATAGACATAGACGTATCGGACATTAGCCAGGAGCAGCCTTATGTGGTTCTCTTCCCCCTCTACTTGAAGGTCAGCTGCTCTTTAATCCAAAGCCCACACTTCCTTTTGTAGGCTATTTTTGTCAGAGGTAATATATGTTTCAGCAATAAAGTTAAAAACAAAACAAAAACAGAGACGTTTGAAGCAGCTAGCCTACCTGCTGCAGCATTGGATTGTGAAGCCATTGCTACGATCAAAATCTCCTGATCAGTTGATTTGAACAATTTTGGCTTAGGCCTTAAAAATAAAACCCTATCAGACGACATTCAATGATGTTTCAGCAAAAAAGCTAAAAAAAAAATACAGATTAAAACAAAATATTACAATAAAAATTTGAAGGAGCTACTACAACACATTCGCTATATCGACTTTATAGATGATGTAGGATTAAAGTCATCCGCAAACTAAGAAGAAAATATTGTATCGTATTGTATTGAAAGAGTCGCACCTTTATAAACTTTCTTGGACAAACCTCTTTATCTATAAAGATGTGGACTCTGACCTTTTATTGTCTCTGTATGTGTGTGTGTGTTCATAGCTGTATGAGGAAGTGAGGAAGTCACTGGAACACTGTGATGTCCAAGAAGATATTGAACACTTTGTAAACCTCAGACAGACTGGAAACAAACCACCAGGTATGAAGTCAGGAATATTCATTCACAATACCGTGTCGTTAACAATTAACCAGTGCTGGAATGCCAGGTGCACATACTGCTAACACACACACACACACACACATGCACTGTTTCATCAGTTGCCAGTATGTCAACAGTATCTGTTTCCTCGTCTATCAGCTCCTGTTATGTATGAGAACTTCTACAGTGGTCAGAGGTCTCCGACTGGAGGTCCACCCTCTCGACTGCCTCCACCAATCATCAGGTAAACAAGAGTCTGACACCAGTCTGTTTATCTATCTATCCCTCCATTTAGTATTTTAACCAGTTCTTTGCTATATTTAACACTAATTGACTGCACACTCCTCACTGTTACCGTGTTTTGTGAATTTGCAGGAGGGGGCCACTACCTGATCCATCAAACAACAGTAGGGGTATGTTGTTGTTGTCGTTTTTTTACTGAAATACAGTGTTATGGTGTGTCGCTTGCATTGGCGGGGTAGCTTAAGAGCCTTGTTTCATTTGGTGGCTCACGCAGCATGCTTGTTAGCATAACATATTGTTAACATGCAAGTTCGCTTAACATGCTGTTATCCCATGGTGTTAGCTGCTAGGCCTGTCACGATAGCTACTTTTGGTGCCAGAAATAATTGCAATGAATGATGTCGTCATTTTAAGACCATTTTATGCCACTGAAATAATGATAAACATAATAATGCAAGAATGCCCATTTAAAGAGCAATTAACTATTGATGGCGCTGCGAAAAAACACTAAGGCACTGCACCCAAGATTTATAATGGTAGGGAAAACCCTGCTGTGATTATTCTGGCATCATGTTGGGTAAAATGTTTGTGGCATTATTATGTAAACAAACATGTAAACACAATTGGCAATATGGAGGTCAGCAAAAATAATCATTATCGTGAGATATATGGAAATGATTAAGTATTGTATGTATTGTAAGATAAGTCAATAACGTAATTATTGTGACATGCCTAATTGCTCTGATGCTTAAGCAGAATGTTGCCACATGTAGTAACATGCTAGTTAGCTTAGCATGAAGTTAGCTGGTTGTTGTTGGCTAGCATTAACACTTTGATTGTTGGCCACAGGGCCAAAACAAAACTTTATCAGCTAAACAAAAGAGAAATGCATATGGAGCCAGAGTGTACAACACTTTTTTCCTTGCTTTCCTATATTATAGCTAGCATTACCATTAACATAATGGGTGTTATCAACTATTTTTAATAGAAAGTAACTAAAACCTGCTTGAAAAGTCGCTAGATATATCTAGATTACGCAACATACTAATTTTTTTTACCGTCAAAAATTGCTTACGGGATCTTTAAAGTCACCAAATCTAGAAAGTCACTAAGTTGGAAACACAGTGCTCACCTGATTAAAACCAGGTTCTTTTCTCTGGTAAGACCGGACATGATTTCATGAAGCAGCAATGATGGTTGGCATTGAGTTTAAACTGCCTTATCAAGCCAGTGGGGCCATGCAATATATGTTAGCTCATGCACATAGATTGTGGGTTGAGCTGCTGAGTGTCTTCTCTTTTCTTAGGGGAGAGTAGATTCTAAAGGCAGCTTTTTGGTGCTTTAGATCAGGGTATAAGAATGATGCAATCTATAAGAGGCCTGATACTTCCTGTCGGGCCTAATGAGAAGTCTCTAATGAGAGCCACTGGGCTTCTGTGGGAATGTTCGCCCAACTTTTGTCACGTTTTACTGTGTATTGATGTTTGTCATCAAAGGTATTTCCAGTAGTGGGATTGGAGCTTGTGGCTTTAATATAAACTGAAGGTGTTTTGCACACGTCTGCTTTTCTGATTAAACCACATTGTTTTGATCTTTGCTTGAATTGCAGATGATACAGTCTTGTACTCGACAGTGCAGGACGCCGGGTACAGCGTAATCCAGTACTAACACACAGATCAGATGGTGGAGTTACTGTATATCCTGTGCAGCGCTGGAGCTTTGTGATGGACACGAAGGCTACATCAGTTTTACCACTTCCTCCTTTGTGATTTCCTGTAAAGATTAAGGTCTTGCTAAGTGGAAATGAGTGTCATAACTGTGTACATACATATTTTTAGGTGAGGTTGTGTGATATTTTGAACATATCACAGTGTTATAAATAGCACAGTAAACTTAATTACTTTATTTTTAGGTTCTTGTGTGTATTTTAAAAGAAATCAAAACAGGCTAAAATGAGGACTATAAAATGAAATAAGAAAGAGACATAAAACAGTGTCGTTACATTATTGTATAAACTTAACAAGTCATTACCACTGTCCAGATAGATAGCCTATTTATTACCAACGTTTATATTGTGCTCTATAATCTACACAATTACATCTTAATTTATTTTCCATTTCATTTTGTATTTATTTTTGTGGATCTATATCTTTCTCAACGTATTCTAACGTGTCATCTGCTCACTTGTTTTCATTTCCTCTTTGATATGAGAGTAACATGTCAGCTGACCATCTGAACCTGAAGCCTCACATACTCTTATTTATCTACAGTGTAGTGGTTCTTTGTCCCTCAGACTATCATTTTGTTCAACAAGAGGCTCATTTCCTATTGTTAGAAAGTTCATTTAGAGTAGTTATGTACCCTATATTGACATTCAGGTAATTAAAATGCATGTATGTGATGATGACATGCAATATTTTCTTAATATTTGGAATACTGAAATTTTTGCACTTTGTTTTTACTTTATGTTAAAAACATAATTTGTAGAAACTGCTTCAAACTGTGAGTTTGAAACTGCAGGAGTCAAAACGGATTGAACAGTGTTTTAATGTGCAGCTGATTTTTTGTGTTGATTTTGCACAAATAAAATGAAAGTTTTTATCAGCACTTTAAGTACGAAGGTTTCTCTTTGCAGTTTCTCTCCCCATTTCCATGATCGTTGCTAACAGTCAAATGGTGACACAACCCTAGAGATGTGGTACTTAGTTTAAATCTAATTCTGTCCCCAAGATATCAACTGCATCACCCACGACACAATGACAATTTCAATAAAAATGTGTACACCTTTATTTCCACCCTGTTTGGCAACATAATTTTCTCTTAATTCTTTTTTTCCTCTCAAATTTCAGAAGTTATTTTTGCATTTTATATGATACAGTCCTCCTCAATGTGAGTAAGACTTCCTGGTAAACATTAGTTCATGTTTAGGATGCCCACATCTGTCTGCTGGGTGCTGTTTGCCTGCAGCCGTTCTCATCCTGAATACCACAGCAGATAGGAAGCATTTCCAGCACTCCCCAGGACTACTGGATGCAGAGGTCTGTCGACGGTGTAAGAAAATGTACTGGTACGCAGGTTCTTCAGTGGCAATCAGATCCTTTGGTGGTCCAGTAATCACATAGCATGCTCTGATTTGATCAGATCCAGAATCATCTGGATGGTCCTCTCACCTAAAGCAGAAAGAGAAGATCAGATCAGATCTAGCTGTTTTTATCTGCAGAGTTATGTTTCAAACTACAGCCCCATAATATTAATATTTATGTGATTTTATTCAGTGTTTCTCATTAAAAGAAACAATTTAGTTTAAGGAAAATATAAATACTGTAAAGGTAATTCAAATTCCACAAATAAAACCAGGAACTAGACGAATATGCAAGCTCATGTTTTATTTGCTCTGGCAATGCCCCTTAGTCCTGGAAACGGGCGTTCCAAACTGTTATCTAACGGGGCGGGTTTTATACAATGACTACAGTACTTTGCATTTTCATAAGCAACTAAGATGGCTGCCACTGATAAAATATTACAGTTGAATCTGCTATCACACAGTATTAAACAAACTTGATTGTACATTATCTCTAAAAGAAGAACAAACAATTGCACCTTAAGCTTTTGTTAATAAGAAAGGAAAGGATTTGGATTAGTTTAATTTACAAACTACATCACAGGTTTCTAGGATGCGTCCATTGTTAAATCCTGGGCCGATTACTGATACCAATTTGTTTTTTATAGTTGTTTCTGCCAGGGAAACAAAGCAATCTACAAAGACAATCATCTCTGCCTTGATGCAGCTCAGCCTATTTCTCCTATTATCCATGATTTGAAAAGCAAAGCTTTTAGGAAGCTCACTTTCCATGCAGCTGCATGGGGCAAATCACTATTTTTGTGCAATTTCTACCAGTGCTGGAAAATGAAGGTTATTATTTCTCCAATATCCTGGCAGGAAATAACCAACATAATAAAAATGTACCTTCCAGATTCATCCTCGGGTTCTCTAGCTTCTTTTCCAGCAGAGAGTCCATCAGCTTCCTCAGGTGTTTGAAGATCACACCAATCCGAACGGGAGCCTTTAAGGGTGAACAACACTGATTAAATTAAGTAAACCTGGAAAACAATCCATTTTGTTGGCCTAGCAAGTAAAGTTTGCAAGGCTACAACTTCTGCTGCAATAGGAGGGGATAGAAGAGAAACCCAGGTGACCTCTGACCTGGAAGTGGATCCATCCGTCTAGTGTGATCAGCCTCTCTCTGTGCTGAATATCAATGTCACCTCCAAACAGCAGCATGGGGAAAGGATGTATCAGAGTGGTGTCTCGCAGGTAGATCTTAGTGTACTTCACCTGTGGGTGAACATTTATTAGCACCACTGTGACTTTAAAACAGCAGATATTACGCCCACACGCTCTTCATACCTTCTCTTGGTACAGCAGCCAGCCGTGCGTCTGCAGGTTGCGGTTAACAGACGAGGGGTGGACCTGAGCCTTTCCCTGGGGCGTCTCCACCGTGCAGGCCACTCGCTCGAGCACATCCACGGAGGGGGTGCACAAGACCCGTCCCACACTGTCGTAGAGCCCCGCCGTCAGCACTGCGTTTAGGACAGAGATCTGCTGCTTGGCCAGCGAGGCCGCCTGCTGCTTGGAGCGAGACGACCAGAAACCCGCCTGCTCCATCATCCTCATCAGGTCGTGTTTCACATCCTGGATAGAAGATGGCATCAAACACATTTGGGTTAGATAGGGAAAGAAGAGAGGAAGGATATGTCTAAAAATGAGAGTCATGAGTGAGAATGTGCGTATGTGTGTTACCTCTATTGTAATGAGAGCTGTACGGTTGAGGAAGTGTTTCCTACAGTAGGACATTTCTACTCTCTGTCCCTCAGTCTGTGACTTCTTCCACCTAACAGTATGAAAAATAGGTCATCAAAAACCAGAGAGCAATACTGAGCAAAGAAGACTGATCATATATTTCAAATATAAAAATATTGTATTATTTTCATTTTTTTCCATTGAGGCCAACAGCTTCCTGATTTCTACAGACTTTTTCAGACCTTTTAAATACCACATACAATGCAATTTAATACCTTTTTTCACAATTATACCAGTCAAAGAATGATGGGAAACCAGTAAGGACTGGCCTATATCTATTCTATTTCTGAACTACAATAATTTATTGACATTTTCATCATATTTATGTCTGTACTTTCCAGCTGTACATAACAATAACTTCTGGACCTGGATCCAGATAAGAGGCAGGAAGTCAATGCATGGATTAGCCAATTAAAAAAACATGACATTAAATCAATATAGGTGAATGATCAATCAATGATGATCAAAAATTATCCCAAATACATTCCTTAAAGAAAATACAGTCTGTACTTGAAGTTAAGCCTTTAACAGTCCATACCCTATATATGCATTATATATCGTCAGGTGATCGGAGTTGGCCACTGCCAGGGCAGCTTTGGCCAGGTTGGCTTCCTCCTTCCTATTCATTGGTGTGGAGAACGGCGACTTCTCTGTGATGGCTGCTGCGATGGTTGCCTGAAACAAATCTCACATGATTCAAAAATATATTCTAATACTAGTAGAGTAACAGCAGTAGTGATAAAATAAAATAATATAATTGGGTATAATTTGGTTTTCTGACTAATGAGGCAGCGGGACGTACTATTGGCTCCAGGCAGCCGAGGATGGCTCCATAGATGAGCATCTTGCCAATCTTCACGTTGACGGGCAGACTCGCCAGGTGGTGTCCCAGAGGGGTGAGGAGGTGATTGTTGAGGTGACACGCACCGATTTTCCTCAGCAGGTTGATGGCGTTACTGACCGACTGGGGCTGAGGAGGATCCAGGGCCCGGCTCAGAAAGTCCTCTGGGGAGCCGTACTGACATTTCTACCAGAGGGGAAAGAGGGGATTAGGGGGAGTGAAGAAGACTTTAAACAGAAGCTTCAATACTGTTTCTATATGTGGTAGAACGTAAAAGTGTGGACATGTTCTTGTATTTCTGTATTTCTGTGCCTGGTTTATATACCATAATATGAAGGCAGAGCTCCTCTAATGGGACTCGTAGTATCTCTGGAATGGAGTAATCCATGAAGGCTTTAAACCTGAGGACACAGGGGTTAAACAACAGCAGAACAGATCAGCACAAAAGCTAAAACAGGAATTTGACGTGTAGTTGTTTCTTTTTTGTGTCTAATGGGAAATTATGTGTTTTCCTGCTTTGCGTTCCCATTCTCATCTCTGCATACTGAACCTCCTTACCTGTATTTTGGGTAGAGTCTGAAGCAGAAGCCGCTTCGGACACGCCCTGCCCTTCCCTGCCTCTGGAGGGCGCTGGCTTTGGAAACAAAAGTTTCCACCAGAGAACTCATCTGGCTGCTCTCATGGTACCTGAGAGACACAGAATACTGAAGTTAGGTCTCTCTGCAACCAAATTCAGTTTTGGTCCAGACTAAACAACTACTGGATGTCTTGTTTCTTTTGCTTTTTTTATTCAAAACAATTCACAGAGACAGACAATTAGGTAACACATTTTGATTGGATTATTTTTGCCTATGGAGCAATGAAACAGATTTACTTCTTATAAGTAACAGTCTGTTTTAGAAGATAATATAATAACAATCACATGCACAACTTTTCTGGTATTGTTTATGAGCCCTTACTTATTTTCTTTAGTCTTTCCAGTGTCAATGACAAACACAACGTCAGGAATAGTCACACCGGTCTCAGCAATGTTAGTCGACAAGACAATCTGCAAGACACAAAGTAGAGCATAGCAGTTAGGATATACAAGACTTATATAATATAACTGTTCAGTTGCTCAATACAATTATTTTATTCAAAATGTTACCTTGTTTTTAAAACAAACTTGTAATGTGAGATAGCTTTGACAAAAATACAGCTTTATAACTTGAGTTGAATCATATTTTCTTATTTCTCAATAGAAGTACCTTTCTAACTCCAGCAGGGGGCACTGTGAAGGCAGAAGCCTGGTCCTTGAGAGTTGAGTGGAGAGCAACAATCCTGTACCTAAAAGAACCGGTCGTAACCATCGATGGGGCAAATGAAAAAGTTAAAGGTTTGTGTGTTCCACCGTTTCTTCTATTTTTAAATGTTAGACTATGTTATAGTTCAGTACTTTACATCAGTTTGTGTATGTCACCTGTTTTTGTCCTTGAACCTCTTGTCTGAGGAGAGCAGGTCGTAGAGCTGCTGGATGTGAGCCAGACCTGGGAGGAACACGAGAACGGCTCCATCCACCTCGGCAAACTGTGGCGATTTGTCTGGCAGAGCACAAAAACACAGAAATCTAACATACACCTAAACATACATGAATATGAATATATGCTGTATGAAACAAACATGATTCATGCGTTGTACCGAGGTAGTCGATGAGGTCAACCAGTAAGTCCATGTTGATCTTATTAGGATTCATGTACTGCAGAACCTGCCGAGTCCTGCTGCTGAAGTGGTCGAGATCTGGACCCAGGTCCCAGCCGGAGGAGGGGTCTCTCACTATCACCTCCTGGATCAGACAGAAGCGGGTTACATACGAACTGTAGACAACACACCACTGCCACACTTACTGTATTACTGCTGTGGAGTCCACATCACCTGGTGCTGTGAAGTCTTGCCACCTTTTTGTGTGATAGAGATGCTAACTTCCTCTTCTTCTTCAAGAATTTTCTGGCTGTACTCTGAGTCCTTTTCCAGGATGTATCCAGTCTGCTCCACTATGTCTTCTAAGTGAGACACCTAGAAACAAAACCACAGGAGAAAATATCTTGGTTCCTCAGCCATCCTTCAAAATATACAAAGGGATAGTAAAGTAGATTCTGTATACACGTAAACTAAAGGTTCTCTTACCTCCACTGGGAAAGTCCTGCCAGGGATGTTGATCACTGGGCAGCGGTTAAAGTAGTTGGAGAACTTGTCACAGTCCACTGTGGCGCTCATGAGGATCAGCTGCAGGTCTGATCTCCTCATGACAACATCTTTCAGGATGGTTAACAGGAAGTCCGACTGGACGCTGCGCTCATGGACCTGAGAAGATGGAGGGGAGACGGATGATGTTGAATATTTTTAAGTTCTAAGAAGCTTCAGGACACACTCTCCAACACGGTATATCAGTACCTCGTCTACGATGATGTGCGTCAGGGAGCTGAGGTGTTTATCATGCTGCAGTTTCCTGAGCAGAACTCCAGTAGTACAGTACAGAAGGCGGGTCCACTCCCCAGACAGATTCTCCATGCGGATCTGGTATCCACACAGTGACGACTGAAACATGATTTCAACATGAAACTTGATTATTAAAGGCGACGTTGCATCCTAGCAGTCTACATTACTATTTAAACAAGAGCCAAGTACAAGGTTACATATTAAGGACTTAAGTTGTCCGGCTAAAAATGTATTTTCACCTTCGATCCCGGTCCGTCCTCGCAGCCAAGCTCCTGGCTGACTCTGCAGGCCAGGCTCATGGCAGAGATCCTGCGGGGCTGGGTCACCACGATGTTGCAGGGCTGCGCCTCTTTGCCTCCCGTTAAAAGCTCCTCCAAGATGAACTGAGGAATCTGAGTACTCTTTCCGCTGCCCGTCTCACCGGCCACCACCACCACAGGGTGCCGCTGCAGAGCCTCCAGGACACGGTGCCGGTGTTGGAAGACAGGAAGCTGCTCTCTCTCTGCCTTGAAGACAAGATACTCGTTGAATTACTTGGTTTCAGTGTATGCATCTTTAAGATTAAACTGTCTTTAATGCGGTAAGTTGTACAATGCTTAAGTATATTTACCTGCAGTTTGAGGGCCAGTGAGGACTTCTTCAGCTTTTTTAAAAGCTCTCTCGATGCCTGAAGTGCTCCTGCCCCTTCCTTCCTCCCTCCTCTTTTCTCATTCTTGTCCTCCAGTTCTTTTCCTCCCTCCCCAATATCAAGACCAGCCAGGTTCTCCCAAGACTCTTCAGGCTCTTCATCATCAGCCCCGCCCTGTCCCAGCTGCCCTTGGGATCCACATTCCTGCGCTTGGTTCTGGTTCTGCTGCTGTTTGAGTTTGGTCAGAAGCCGGGAGATGAACTGGTCTCGAGGCTTGTTGGCAGCGGTGCGGCTCTCCTCCTGTTTCTGCTGCTCGCTGTCCCTCCATTCCAGCCACACGTCTCTGTAGGTTGGAGGGAGGAGCTGGTGCACTGACTGAGAGTGAAAGATTGAGAAAGGTGGGAGTGAATTAGCTGTTAGAGAAAGTAAATGTAAGGTCAAGCAGCACAGTGGTGTCCTCTGCATGTATTACCTGTCCTTTAATCATGTTGTAGAGTGCCAGTGTCGCTGCCAGATGCTGCGCCTGCATGCTGTCCTCAGTCAGGATCGTTGGACAAACTTCAAGAACATCATCTAGCCTCTGAACACGCACCCTGATGGATGCATCAAATCAAACATTTAAAAATTTAGTTATAAGCCGACTATAGATAACAAGGTTAAATAATCTTAAATAGCACTCCCGTTTATTACTGCAGGTTATTTCATTCTTCTATGGATGTAGCACAAGTGACAATCCTCTACTAGCGTGGGAACAAGGACATAGAAACACTTACTTGCATCTCCAGTATCTACCAGCAGCAACCTTGTGAAAAGCCGGAGCTGGACTCTTGGGCAGGTTCTTCCGTACCCAGTCGATGAGGAACTGTTTGGGGGACTTTCCTGTCCAGCTGCGAGCTGTGTAGTCAAAATTGCGAATGTCCTTTGGCTCATTCTTTTTGACAACTGCGACAGGAAAATGTAACATAACAATTAGCAAGAATTCTGTTTCTCTCTAAGTTTGCCACCATATATGAAGACATATATGAACGCAGATATATCAGATTTATATCTCCTTGTTTGATAAAGCATTATGTTAAAACCCAATTGTAGAAGTGTAAAATGACGCTTGGTTAGCAATATGTGTATACAGCATCTATAACAGGGACACTTGAAGTTCAAGTATGTGATGGTTTATATTTCCTGTGGACGTGTTTTGTTAAAAGTCACTTAATGAATGAATGAAACGTGACTCAGATAGAGTTTATTTGAACCTTTCTCCGCAGGAGGGTCCTTTTCAGCTTGTTCGAATAACTTGAAGCTCAGGTCCTCTTTGTCCGAGGCGACAGGAAGTGCTTTCTTTTCCTTTTGAGGCGCGTCTACCACTTTTATAGCTGGATTGAACACGGGGTGGGACTCGAGTTGCTTCATTTCTAGAAACATAAAATACAATTAGTTCTAAATAAGTCAAAAATGAGTTAGAAATAATTGTTTAATCTTTGAAGGTAAGAGTCACCCACCTTGCTGTATGACGCGTATCCTGTCCTGTGCCATCCTCTGGCCCGCCTTGTCTCCTTTTGTCTTGGCAGTAGCTGCCATTTCTTTTGTGTCATACAGTTGTGCAGTAAGGACCAAATACCGGTCATTCTACACAGCAAGACATAACACACACGGTTACTACACTGCGCCACATACTCACTGACATTCACCACACTATCACAACTTACCAACTTCATACAAAAGCTGAAATGTTGCCTTTGAGCTACAGAAAGTTTGCATGCTTATTCGCTTTCTTGCTAAGAATTAGATGAGAAGATCTTACTGGATCAAACTTTTCATCCAGTTCAGGATTGTGTGCAGTCTTCTTCCCTCCTTTCTCTTCTTCCTCCTCCTCCTCCTCATCACTGCTCTGCGCCGCATACCTTAAGATCCAGTCCTTCATGCTCGCAGCTTCATCCTTCTCTGTGGCCTGGAAAAACCACCACACGTATGAGGGTCAATTAAGTTCCGACAGTTCCTGTCTTTCTAGCCAACACACACTTGTAATCAGGCACACAAACCTTGGTGGTCTCTTTGCGGGTGTTGTCGGGGGCTTTGGGGACCGGGGCTGCAGGTTTCTGCTGAGCAGGAGGTTGGTACCTGGGCCTGCTCTTCTGGCTCTCCTCCTGCATCTGCTGGCTGAAACCTTCTGGCAGCTCATCTGGACAATAAAATAAGAAGGTCACAGTTTGACAGCATTGTTTCCTCAAGATAACATCGAGTAGACAGAGTAGATTAGTTGTCAACTATTAAATTAATCTCCAACTATTTTGATAATTGACTAACTGAGTCATTTTCTGATAAAAGAAAGGCCCAATTTCTCTTATTTCAGTTTCTCAAATATGAATATTTTTTGGTTTATTTAGTCCTCTAGGAATACACTAAATATCTTTGGGTTGACAACATCGCTTTGGGCTGGGAAACAGTGATCACAAACAGTGAACATTTTTCACAATTTTCTATCATTTTATGGACCAAACAACCAATCAATTGAAATTGAAATCGATAATGGGAATAATCATTGATTGCAACCCTAATCTAAATGCTCGCTGATGCTCTATTACCATCTTTAAGGTTGAGGCAGAGCCAGTCGAGAGCAGAGTGGAGATCCCCTCCGTAGAGCACGCTACTCTTCATCGCCTCCTCAATGTGCTCCCTCTTAAAGTTAAACTTCTGCAGAGCTGTGTACAAGTCCTGCAAGCACAAACAACACAAAGCCAACCTGAATACAACATTCGGTCATGAAAACAGATCTCAAGAACCAGAGGGTTTAGATTTTGTCTTTACCAGCAACTTCTTGCTCGTAAGTCTGCCCGATATGGGCCCTTTGTCCCCATTCTCCTCCCTGAAGTCATTGATCAGCTTGATGATCTTTTTCTCCAGGTCAGCTTGGATATAAACCTGTGTTAATGAGTTCAATCTCATTCGTTATTAATATTTTTGAATGTTTTTCACACATTTGACCAACTGGATGAGATTTGCAGCTGAATACATTTCAGTATGTATTGTATATTAGTGTGTTAGAAGGTAATCAACATAGACAGAGTCTAGTAAACACCGTGAAGATCAAGTTTAAGTTACTGAACCAATAACTTACTTTAAGAATCGACTTGTCCGTAACTCCACCTGTGTCAACCTGAGCAGTGTTGGCAAGACTGTAGGTCTTTGGAGCTGGAGACGGGTAAAAATGTAAGTCACTTTCATCAGAGACATAACATGCAGATTAGGCTGCAACCATCAACTGTTTTCATTATAGATTAATACATCTATATTCAGTTGATTACAAGACAACTGCTTAGTATGAAACATGTCTACATATAAAAGGCATCTAACACCACAAGTTACCAGAGCTCTGGTTTGTTTACCCATCTGATCAGCAAGCTGTCATCATCATATGACATGAAGAAAGGCAACAGAGAGGTATTTGTGAAGCTGTAGCCTCAGAAATTTTGGTTATTTTCTACTTAACAAAATACTACTGTGAACTGTACACAACCCCTGCAGCCCAGCAGCTTACACAGTAAATATATACCAAAATGCAACATACAGGCCTGAACACAGCAGCATGTATACAGCTATCCAATATCATATAGCTATAAGTCACAGACTGCTTGAATGGCACAGGTACAGTGATGTTTTTGAATCCAGCCAGGTAATACCACCTTTTGACTTGATCTCTTTGGCTGGTTTAGCTGGTTTGTTGCTTGCTGGCTGTTTCTTCGCCTCCTCCGCCACGCCGTTCCCCGGTGCAGCGGCACCAGTCCTGCCCGCTGCTGCTGCCGCCGCTGTTTGGGCCACCGGAGCCGCCGCTTGAGCCGCCGATTTCTTCTTCTTTCCGCCCATGATGTCCCCCAAAACACTGCCTGTCTGCGGCTCCGCTATGTGGCTATGTGATGCCAAGTCATCCGCAAAGTGCTGAACGGTGGTGGTTACGAACAGAGAGCTGGAAACCAAAAAATAACGCTAATTTCTCTCCGCATTCACGTCGGGGATGGGGGGGGGGAGACGTTTTTTGGACTACACAGCTGCCGTACCGGAAATAGTACCGGGGGAGAAACCTCGTGTTGTATTGTGGGAAGTGTGCCCTCAACAATCATGGCAGACGCCTTCGGAGACGGCTTGTTCAGCGTGTTTGACGATGAGCAACAAACTACAACAAGCAAAAAGATACCCGCGTCTCTGACACCAGATATAGGGTAAATTACTGCGTCTGCTTTTGCACGTTAATGTTTGAAAACAGGAGGTTGGAATGTCCAGGGAACTTGAACGTAGCATCATGTCTGCTCGTGCCAGTCCTAGCACACCTGACGTCAACATGCTAGTTAGCGTGCTAAGTTAACCTAACTCGTTAAATGAAACGTGAAGATAAAGTGCCGGTTTGTGCTGATAAAAGTTAACTCAAATTAACACGACTTTGTGTTTGTTTTTGTGCTGTTAGATATGATGTTTAACCCCTATTTGTTGTGAGACTGAGAGGTTCAAAGTTACAACAGTGAAGGCAAGCTAGCCTTTGGTGTAACGTTCATGTGCTCATTAAAGTGTCAGATTCATCTGTACTTGTGTTGTTTTTCTCTTTCCAGGAAAGCTGTAGGTAAAAATGGCACTGACAAGGATGCTGGGACTTCTGCCCGGGTCAAGAGGGAGGCAGACAGTGACGGTGGAGAGGAGGTGGTGTTTGGGAAGAAACCCCGACATGAGACAGTCTCTGCTAATGACCTAAAGTAAGATCTTAACACTGTATGTGTACTTACTGATGCATGCAACAACAATGCTATGCACGTTTACTCAGTTACTTTACTTGAGTATTTACATTAAAAGCTACTTCATGTCTTTCAGAAGGAAATACTGTAAGTGTTGCTGCATACAAATGAATGCATTTCTTATTACAACCCAACAATAAAGCACTCAGGAACATTCTTAGTGCTTTTGGTACTCTGAAGTGGTGATAGACTGATTAATCGATCAGCCGAAACAGAAACATGTCTGACTTATCTGCAGGCAGACATCAGAATCAGAAATACTTTATTGATCCAGGGGGGAAATGTGTTCAAGGTGCTCACACAATGTGAAAGAAAGCGACAGAAGAATAGAAATAATACTAATATTACAATATCTAACCCAGTATATATAGAACAGAATAGAAATGTGTATATACGTAGGTATAAGTAAAAAATGGAAATATAATAGGAGGTATATACAAAGTAAATTTTTTGTGACCAACAGAAATGAAATGAGTCATATTAGTGAGATTTTAAAGATTGTGGTATTACAGAAGTTATAAATTAATACAAAGGAGACATGTCGGTTTAGCTGCTGTGAATTGAGGTTGGAGCTCCCCTCTGAGTTTTGGGAAGGTAGTGAAAAGGTTGTTTTTGAGCCCTTGTACTGTAACTGTAATGCATCCTGCTGTAAACATATTCCTGAGTTTCCTGTATAAAAAGAAGTACACATGCATTTTCTTTGTTTTGATATTGGCATTATATATATTGGCCATCAGCAGCCCTCTAAAAATCTGCATCAGCCACGGAAAAACCCATACTGCTCGAGCACTGCTGTGGTATATTTATCTGATTTAACCTCTCGTTTTACTTAAGTCACATTTAGCATGCAGGGCAGTGTTTTTACATAATGATGTTGCTATTTTATCTTTAGAAAAGGACCTGAATACTTTTCTAACCCTCAACCATCCTCATGAAGGTTTCAGAGAGGTGTTGATTTATGTGTATGTTACTCAAATCAATCACTTTTACTCTTACGAGGGGAAATACTGGCTTGAAATGCTGCAGAATATGTTTTAAAGTTGGTGTGTAGGTAACAGATGTTTTGTCTGTTTCAGTCTTGCTGAATTTATGCCCCAAGTGAAGGTGGAGCAAGTCGAGACTGTGGAAGGATGCTCGCATGAGGTAAAGAAAGCAATTTGAGGCAAATTTACAGATGCATGACAAATAAAAGGAAAAAAACATGTAAGGTGTTGGGGCACCATGCGCTGTCAGAAATTTCAAAAGACCAAAGATGTATCAGGCCTTTTCTTTTATTTGCCACCTGTCTGATTTCTTTGACTCTGCGTGGCTACTCAGATTTGTTAAAATGTTGTCTTTCCCTAACAGGTCGCTCTGCCTGCCAGTGATGAATACAAACCACTTAAACCACGAGTGGGGAAAGCAGCCAAGGTATAATGTACCTTTAAATCAGGTCTACTAACTCGCTTTCTAGTTGTAATAATATATTTTATATTCTTTATCGCACCTTAAACACAGTACTGTATTGCTGTATGTGTATAATGGAGTTTGTGTCGATAATATTGTGTATTCATTGTACTAGAAGAAGAGCTAGTATTTCTCCTGGATTGGTTTTCTTTTGTTTTGACATGTCTTCCTTGTCTTGCAGGAGTACCCTTTTGTTCTCGACCCGTTCCAGCGCGAAGCCATTTTATGTATTGACAACAACGAGTCTGTGCTTGTGTCCGCGCACACCTCTGCTGGCAAGACTGTCTGTGCCGAGTGAGTACTATCTTCAATAAACATAACATCACTACAGTTTCACTGTAAACTATTTATCTGACATCTTTTTTGGCAATGGTAATGCCAGATAAGTGATCTAACCTGGTTTACTCTTATATTCTCCTCTTGTAGATATGCCATTGCACTGGCGCTCAGAGAGAAGCAGAGGGTGATCTTCACCAGCCCCATCAAGGCCCTCTCCAACCAGAAGTACAGAGAGATGTATGAGGAGTTCCAGGATGTGGGACTGATGACTGGAGACGTCACCATCAACCCCACCGCCTCCTGCCTCGTCATGACAACAGAGGTAAGACGAAGTTGTGTCTGCACATGTGGAGTCATTATCAAGTTTTATTTAAGGGGGGGGGGTCTTTGTAAAGTTGAGTAGTTGGTCTGACATGATAAACCTCCTCCTCTCCCCAGATTCTGAGGAGCATGCTCTACCGAGGCTCCGAGATCATGAGGGAAGTGGCGTGGGTCGTGTTTGACGAGATCCATTACATGAGAGATGCAGGTGTGTACACAATACAAACAGCACAGTGTGGTGCATGAACCACTTGTATGAACAGATTCGTTCCTATGATGTGCGAGTGACTTAAGATGTATCACCAATTTTATCATACATTGTAATGAAATACACAAGTGGTCCAGACCTGCTGTTGTCATCGTGGCATTGTGGATTTTCTAACATTTGTTGTCATTGTCACAACTTTTGTAGTTCAGTAGTTGTTGGGAAGATTTTGTCACCTTGACAGCTGGCCCAGTGTTTCAGATACAAATACAAACAGAAGTCCATTGTTTGTAACAAATCCCCCTGTTTTTTGTGTATTTCAGAGCGTGGCGTTGTGTGGGAGGAAACCATCATTCTTCTTCCTGACAATGTGCATTACGTCTTTCTGTCAGCCACCATCCCCAATGCCAAACAGTTTGCTGAGTGGATTTGCCACCTACACAAGCAGGTGGGATGCTGTACTGGCACGCATTATAAATATAAGCATTAAGTTACTTATATTGTAATATGAGGAGGTGGCGATTATCTGTCTATATGAAAGGCTCAAGAACATTTCTTTGTGTTAAATAATTAATGAAGTGTTTCTGTCTCATGTCTCCTGTAGCCATGCCATGTAGTGTACACAGACTACCGTCCCACTCCACTGCAACACTACATCTTCCCAGCAGGGGGCGATGGACTCCACCTGGTTGTTGATGAGAACGTAAGCTCACCCACAAACTGCTTTTACTGGAATCTGTCAGCATGAAAGACAGCTAGATATTAGCCCAGTTTCTCTGTCTCCCAGGTTTGAATGCATCCTTTGGGACCGGTCTTCATGTGATAAACAAACATAACATCTGTGTGCCTTTTGCTTTTCTTCAGGGAGACTTCAGAGAGGACAATTTCAACACCGCTATGCAGGTGCTGAGAGACGCAGGGGATTCTGGGAGCAGCAGCGGGGGCAAGTGGGACCCGAGAGGACGGAAAGGAGGCACTAAAGGTGTGTGTGTTTGTCAGTTTTCAAGGTTAAATCGTGTAAAGAATTCATGTTCATGTATACTCACAGACATGATTTCGGTAGGTCCATCCAGTGTGTTCAAGATAGTGAAGATGATCATGGAGAGGAACTTCCAGCCTGTCATCATTTTCAGTTTCAGCAAGAAGGAGTGTGAGGCCTACGCTCTGCAGGTGTCCAAACTCGACTTTAACAGAGGTATTTGTTCTGCTTTATATCTTATATATCTGTGTGTGTGTGTGTGTGTGTGTAATTATTTTTTACAAACCTATATTTGGCCTGTCACTGTGTGGATATTTGCAGTATGAGTCGGGTCAGATCCAGTTCTATTTATATAGAACAAAATTACAAATCAACAATTAACAATTTATACAGACTGGTCATAAGTGTTGAAATATTTGAAACATTTGCCAATACAGCTTTGTTTTGTACCCTGTTTACTTAACATTTCATAGCAATAGGTTGAATAATTGATTTGTGGATCAACAGAAAATTGATTGTCAACTATTTTAATAACAGAACAAACATTTTAGAGACGTTTTGAGCTAAAATGCTACCAAACATACAACAAACATTTCAGCTTCTCAAATGAGAGAATTTCTTTAGTAAACTCAATAACTTTGGGTTTTGCAAAATAAGACATTTGAAGACATTGCAGCTATGTAATGGACATTTTTCACTACTAAATTTATACACAAAATCAATAATCAATGTTATAAATAGTTGCAGCCCTAATATTTTCCATTCTGGCATATCTGTTATGTCCACAATTAAAAGTCCTTGCTGTTTGTTTGACCTGTAATAAATGATCAAATGTTAGTTGTACTTCTTTCTAGCTAGATTAAAAACTTTTATTGTCAGCTGCTCACTGCCTTTGTCAGCGAGCAGATGTGAAGTCCCACTAATGGCAGAACAATGAGCTTGTTTGTGGTTAGACTCATAGATTACGAGAAGATCGTCTTTGCACACTGAAATGCCAAAACAA